TGGCACAGTTGTTGGTCCTGGTACAGCATACCAAACGGCCGAAAATTTCTAAAATCGGACAATAACCACGCCCACATCCCATATAACGGTAATTTCGAGAAATGCAAAATCTTCGATAAATCAGTAAATATTGAAGCTAATTTATTCAAAATTGATGGTTGCAACAATTCTTTACCAAGAAATACGTTTATGACAAAATTTTGGAAAATGGGCGTAGCACCGCCCACTTGTGATCACATATATGTATGTATCTCGCTAACCGTTCTAGCAATTTGTACCAAGCTCGGTATGGTTATTGTGCTTGCCACATAAAAGCAAACCGTTGAAAATTGTTGAAATCGGACTAAAATTGAGGCCGCTTTTCATATAACGGTAAATTTCAGAAATGCTTGAAATTTCAATATTTCGAAATTTAAGGACGCTAATTTACTTAAAATGTATACACCCCGGCTTATCATGTAGCGGTAGCTTTCGGAAAGGAGGAAAACATATATTTAATACTTGCGCCGGGTATTTAATGTTCGGCTCCGCCCGAACTTAGACTTTCTTACTTGTTTTTCTTAAAAATGAAATTTTATCAAGCTTTTAAAATGTTGGCCGTGTAAAATTAAGTCTTTTGAGTTGAATTCATCCATTCTATATTGCGATTTTATGCGATTTCTAAGAAAATACCTTTTTTATACATAGGTATTCTTGATACTGTCAATAGAGAGCTATTTACAATTTGCAGGCGATAACTCGATTAAGTAAGCAAAAAGGGCTGTTTACAATTATTTTGCTTAAAAGGCTGCCCCTTTTAACTTTTCAGCAAACAAATAAGGAAAGTCGGACTTTTCAGGTTTTCAATTAAAATTAATATAATTCGTCAATATTTGTCAAAAGTAGCCACTGTATAAATAATCTCTGCAACAAAGTTTTCTTTGCTACAAATATTACGGAATAACACGCATTCAAACTTTTTCAGTAAAACAACAAATGAAAAAGGACGTCTTTGGACCCCTCGGTAGTCGAGGGTTAAGATTTTTTTTTACAAAAAAGTAGAAAATCATATGTCAATCACAAATAAATCAGAGACCGAAAATAACTGGTCCACATTAAACACATTGTAACTTTTCCTATCATTAACCATTTATTTTTTAATTTTTGTGATATATCACTCTGAAAGCGTTTTATACGAGAGAGATTACGGTTAATGACTGTGAGAAATGGAATCGCTAACGAAAATAAAGGCCAAAAGCAGTTATTTATGAAATTTTTTTGTTGAAAAGGTGAGTTAGTAAATTTAATTATGCTGCAGAGAAAACACATGATGAAAATGCTACGAAGTAAAACAAACTACATATATAGAATATAGAATAACCTATATAGAATAGTAAGCAGAACTATTCTTATTCACTCAAATAATCACCGTTATAAAATTTTTTTTTACAAACTTTATACACTCACACTTTTTTATCACTACTCGTTTCCAAGTGAAAAAATCTGCGGAATTCAACGCTTGATTTTCGGCCCATCTTCTTCCCTTCAATAAGTAAACTATACTAACTAGAAGATAACTACCAAGCACTACACTCAGTATTTTTAACATACCTACTTGGATACCGTTGCATTTAAAACAAAAGGTCAATTCGAAACGTAAAAAAACATCAAATCAAATAAAGGTCTAACCAATACAGATAAGCCAAAAACTTTATTTATTTTTTATAACAAGAAATAAATGACAATTTGTGACAGCAATAAATGGGCCGGTTATTTTCAGTCTCTGTAATAAATAATAATTTTGAAGTCTACTTGTTTGCTCATAATTAATTTGCTTGGCTGAGGGCTTAACCCTAAAAAGATAACCTACAATAACCTTTTCTGCTCAAATAAAACATTTTTATTGGTTTTACATAAGCGGCCTTGTGATTTGTGCTTATTTTTTAAGAACACAAATTTTTAATAAGCATGCATTTTCCATTCTATAAAATGACTAGATTATTTAAATAAATATTGACATTAGCGTAAAATAGACCGTTAAATCGCGTTTTTGCTATGACTTTCTTATTTTATATCCGATTTTTAAAATCTTTATGTCGCGAAAAGGTCTCGCTCAGGACTATAATTGGCCATTAAAAAGTTTTGGCCTTCAAACCCGTTTTAATTTATAAGTTCACTCATTTTGGAATTACTATCGCTAGATTTTTATTTTTATATTATAAATCTAAAGCTCTCAAAAAACGATGACGACCTTGCTAACATGGGTTAGACTTATATTACAATTACATATATCGTGAGCGAGGCCTTTTCGGTGACATAAAAATTTAAAAAATCGCATAGCAAATAAGAAATTTGCAGGGAAAAACGCGATTTAGCGATTTTTACACCCACAAGTTTTTTCTCGACATAAGTATTCAAATAAAACTGACACACGCTAAACTTTTTTTCGTGATACGTCCTAATGTACATTGTATGTATACATTGTTGTATTGTGGTTCATCTTCTACAAACTTTTTTAGCTCGTACCCAGTTTTCAGTATGGGCATTTAAATGTGAATACATCAATGCATATCATCGTTTAAAGTACAAAACCGCGTAACTGACATTTTTTGCCGAAAATTGGATTTGCTCACCAAAGCTCTTGGCTCAAACCTTATCCATTCGTCCTGAAATATATGTACTAGCCGGAACTACGATTGCTTCATAGAAAAGAGAACCAGTTTGAAATATAAGTGTTTTTACTCTCTACAAAATTATTTATGCAACCTCACATACGCGGTTTTGTACTTTAAACGACGATATGTATATGTACTATACTTTTGCATATCTACTTATTTATGAATACATACATATGTACCTGTGTAGGCTCTTGTTGTGACCTCTTCGCCAATTGCTAAATAAAATATCTCAAAACAACAACACAAAGTTTTCAACAATTGATTGCAAATACATACATATGTATCTGCATATGTACCTACATATATACATATATATATATGCATGCATTTAAATGCAAATAGCAGCAAAACAGAAGAAAAAGTGCCTTTTGTTTACATTTTGTGTGTATCTGGAAGGTGTGTCATTGAGTTAGCCGCAACGTCATTGCATCCCTATACAGTAAAGCCTCGATATAACCAAGTTGAGGGGTTTTGATAAATGCTTCCTTAGAAAAACATATGTCGGCCATCTCATATATAAATAGTTAAACATGTTTTCTTTACATCCCTTTTAAAGCTAAACTATGCTCCTAAGGTATAAAAAATTATATAAGTATGTATCATCAGAAAGGTATTTTGAAGCTGAAGTGTAGAGAATGACTCAAAATTTAAAATTAGTTTAAAATAAATAAAACTTTTTAATATACCACGCTTCTATAAATGAACTAAAAAAGTAGAAAATAACATTTCACAGTCCCATAGAATTTGTTTTGATGACTTTTGATTTTGAAATTTTAGCAAGAGTCGGATAAACAATATAAGAGATTGAAAATGAAAAACGTATTTTACCGCAACACAACTCCCCTTAACTTAAGTATTTAAACTCATCTCACCTGAACTCACTTCACTTCAATTCACTACAACTTAACTCAACTCAACTCAACTTAATTTTAGTGGTTGAATTTCAGCCGCTGGGCAAACATTAGTATTTATAGAATATCAAACCCCCGATACAATGATGAATGCATNAGAGTCGGATAAACAATATAAGAGATTGAAAATGAAAAACGTATTTTACCGCAACACAACTCCCCTTAACTTAAGTATTTAAACTCATCTCACCTGAACTCACTTCACTTCAATTCACTACAACTTAACTCAACTCAACTCAACTTAATTTTAGTGGTTGAATTTCAACCGCTGGGCAAACATTAGTATTTATAGAATATCAAACCCCCGATACAATGATGAATGCATAACTTTGAAAAAAAAATAGTT